TGTTTACTTAAAGGAATATTTCCAGTGTTCTTGCTGTATACGAGATCAAGCTTAACCCATCATTCCCATATTTGGATACAGGAACCACCCGATTCCATCAGGCAGTGGTTTTTTAACGAGCTATTGAAGTTCAAACTAAAAGCGTGATACAGGAAAACAAACATACGTTCAAAGTTCCTATTTGGAGAACTAATACACATGTACACATACGCATACATATGTACACACACATACATGTAGTGTTGATGAGTGCATTTAAAGGGGACTTTGGTGTACATGATTTCTCGTATCTATCTCATTCCCCCAATATTAATTACTGTAATGACTTTCGTCTCCTCCCCTCTCTATCCCTCTCTCGATCGGTTTCTCTGCTAGATTGTTTTAGTCATTTACTTATCAATATATTTGCCTATACAAGTTAACTGTCATTTTCATAAAAGCGATAATGTATAATTAAAGATAAACTTGAGTTCTGGTAATGCGATTGAAAGAAAAGGTGTGGAATGGATCAGAAAAGTTGATCATATAGCATGTAAGTAATGGTGTGTAATGCAAGGTTCTGGAGTCATCAAAATCATCATAAATTTGGCAGAGTCTTGGTAAAGTAACAATCACTTACACAGAAAGATGTATATGGGACAACACACATGGTGTCGGGGCTAGTACTACTCTGATTTCCTTATCTTTCTATGCTCGTTACTCAGCCAGTATACATTTTCTTCCAAAATTGTTTGGCACATGATATTTATTTGTAATCTTGAACATTCAATGTAAGTTTCGTTAGATCCTGTAGGAATTCATTTTTTTTTTTTTTTACAAGAACTCAAGTTTATCTTTAAGCTCTAATATTTTGTACGAAAACGCTGCTCCGCAATGATATGATATAGTGGTATTCTCAATTCTGGACTCGCCGGCCGCTTTGCCTCACCCTGTACCTGCAAACAGGCCCTGTGTTTGATGATTATAGGCAAATCGACTTTTGAAACTCTTTTTTTACAAAAGGGCCAGCACCCTGATAGCAGAGACTGGTAAATATCACGTCATATTTACGTCTTGTACTACGTCTTTAAGACGACATAACACGACGTCAAAAAGACATGATTTTGCACCCGCGCACGTCGTCACGAGGACGTCATATTTTGACGTGATTTTTACGTCTTATTAGTCAAAGAAAGACGTCTTTAAGACGTCAACTTGTACTATAGGAAGACGTCACATGGACGTCATATTTACGTCTTTTAGTTAAAGAAAGACGTCTTTAAGACGACATAACACGACGTCAAAAAGACTTGATTTTGCACCCGCGCACGTCGTCACGAGGACGTCATATTTTGACGTGATTTTTACGTCTTATTAGTCAAAGAAAGACGTCTTTAAGACGTCAAGTTGTACTATAGGAAGACGTCATATGGACGTCATATTTACGTCTTTTAGTTAAAGAGAGACGTCTTTAAGACGACATAACACGACGTCAAAAAGACTTGATTTTGCACCCGCGCACGTCGTCACGAGGACGTCATATTTTGACGTGATTTTTACGTCTTATTAGTTAAAGAAAGACGTCTTTAAGACGTCAACTTGTGCCATAGAAAGACGTTGTATGGACGTCATATTTACGTCTTTTAGTCAAAGAAAGACGTCTGTAAGACGTCAACTTGTACCATAGGAAGACGTCGTATGGACGTCATATTTTGTCGTGATTTTAACGTCTTATTAGTCAAAGAAAGACGTCTTTAAGACGTCAACTTGTACCATATAAAGACGTTGTATGGACGTCATATTTTCTTTTTAGGTCTTATTGGTTAAATAAAGACGTCTTTAAGACGTCAACTTTCACCCAAGAAAGACCTGTATACGTTGTATGGACATCAAATTTTGACGTGATATTTACACCTTACTGGTCATTTCGATGTACCTTTTATCCTTACATGATCTTTACGTCTTTGTTGTCCTCTAAATAACATCTATACGACCACCTGATCAAGGAAGAAAGTGTAAAAGTCACTTCATGTACACATTCTGAACAATCACACAGTAAAATCAAAGCAACAAATATTGCATCACATAATATATATATACATGCCAAACAGAAAGTTATTTTCATATTTTTAATGTACACGTATATGGTATGAAAATGGATAACAAAAATATAAAATACGTATTTCTATACCTTCTTATTCTATCTAACTTTGTTTTCCATTGGTACAAAATCTTTTCATCACTATCCTGACACTTCTTCCAAAACATGCTGTATAAATACCTAGTGTATTTCTGTCAGTCTCATAATTTATTTTAAGAAAGTTAACAGGCCATCACAAAGATATCTGTTTCGTTATAAATTGTGCTACAAGAAACTATGACATATTGGCTAAACTTATAAGTCTTACGGTTGTGGGAAGCAGGTTAGCAGCATAGAGACTAGGTAAAGCTATACTGATACCCGCAGTATTTTAGTAGACAAGCAAACAGCACACTGGGGAAGTTCCTCATATTCAGCAAAACAGCATAGTGGAAAGCTAGGCATTCATCAGTGCAGCTCTACCTCGTCTCCATGCTGCAAAACCGCTCCTGACAACCCCAAGACTTTAATGCAGATAAAGACTATCACATAAAACAAAAAGTTGTTGGAAAGAATTTCTGAGCATGAAAGATCAATTCTTGTTACATACAAGGGGAATATCTAAGTTCATGGCAAGAATTCAGTATAAAGTATAAAACTATACAATCTAAATCACACACAGGAGAAAAATGGCACAAATGATAAACACATGGCTTAGCTAAGTTATTTCTTACACTCAAAAGGAACAAGTTGGCAGCAAGGGGAACAGGGAGAGCTTCACTGATACCTGCAGAGTTTTCTGATGATGGTTGCTTGCCCGTCAAAACCATGATGTTCACATTTGGCGATACAGCATATTAGGAAACTGTGCAGAAATCAGCTCAACTGTACCTATTCTCTGTGCTAGAAACCTGCTTCTTACGGGCACATGACTTAAATATAAGAAAAGGCATTAGTGGCAACATTCATCTTTATAAATATCAAAAAATTAGTTTTGTTGCAAATACAGAAGCTGAAGTTCAAGTATAAAATACAATTTATATCAGATAACATTCCCGCCAGTACGATTGGCTCAGTTGGGCAATTCCAAGGTGACGGTGGAATAATTATTCAGAAGATATTTCCCAGTTTAAGATAAAATAGCAAACATGCTGAAAAAGTTTAGCACAAAGAGATATATTCCATTGCTAATGTCACAACATTCATTTGGCAAGTCCCAGGAGTTTCACAAAAGAATTAAAATTTAACTTAAATTTTAACAGCAAATTCAATATACATGTAGGTAAGCCATATTGTGCTTTCAAAATCACAGATACAATCCAAGAATTTTTTACTTTTAACTACCAATTTTTTTCAAACCACAAGGTATTTATGGTTTTCATTGAAGGCGCTACTGTGTGTCACTCTTTAACAGTTAATTCTCCCAACAAAATTTTCAATTTTCCCCAACCGTTTTTCCATGAAAATAAGATATAAAACAGGCCTTTAAAAATCTTTCAACGCCTAAATTTGGAAAAGGTATTGGAGCTAATTCGTTGCTTTGTGATGATTTACACTCACTTCAATTTAATCAAATTATAAAAATATAGTTGGGAGAATTAAGGAATGGATTAGATCAGTTTTCCCAATTTTAATCATCAATAGTGGTCTATTTTTAACTCAAATGTTCAGATTATCTTTAAGTGTACATACAGTATAGCATTGAAGTCAATACCTTAGCATCATTTTCTCTCATATGAACAATGTTACCAAGTCCCTTTAAGGCTCGTTCAGATATGATGCTGCAAAACAAAATCTCAGAGTTTTTTTAATGTTGACATTCAATATGCTTGAGTTCAATATGCTTTACATTTCTGTATATTATTTTAAAAAAAGAGCTCACTGAATATGCGCAGTCCAAAACATACAAAGACTTGTTGCCATTCGCTTTACACATAAAACCAAACTGCATCATTTTCGAAAATTGTTGGCGGTTCACGTTCCGTATCTGAACAAGTCTTAGTTGCTTAATAATGGAATCGATTTGTATTGTATTTAACTCACTCAATTTTTCTCTATTACCAACTTATATATAATTTGCAACAGGTTTTAAGAACTGATAAGAAGCGGATGGGGGGTGGGGGTGAGCATGAGACTGAGCATATCAAGTCTACTACATTTAAGCATTATGAAACAGGTCAACCTCATAAATAGTAATTACAAATATATGCAAAATACTGGAATCTTTTACTCAAACTGTTATTATGTCAGTTCGTACACCCTGTAATTCATTAAAATTGTAAGTGACATGAATGGGAATTTTAGTTCCACAGCTTAGCCATTCAGGTTTGTGGCTACACCTCACCTCTCCCCCTCCCCAATCTCTCTCTATAAATTATAATGAAGTGAAAAAAAAACCTTTTTTCTAGCAGTTTAACTATCGGGTGAGTGTAGATCTACATGTAATTTTGGACATATTCCTCTTCAGCTTGGACTCATGGGTTAGCTTTTGGGTGGAATCTCTGGCATTATGCACTGCTTTCAGATCCAGGGAACATAGACGCAAGGAATTCTAGTGCATGAATAAAGCAAAAAGAAAGGAATACAATTTGAGACAAACTTTTATATATTTTAAAACTGGAACGTAAACAATGAATTAAATAATGAATTATGTCAGAAAAGTACTGCTTGGTGAGATTTATCAGAAATAATTTCTTATTGCTCACAAACATAAAGTCAACACACCTTTGGATTTTAAACATTTGTGGGCAATGCAAAACGTGATTCAGGATTTCGTTTGGTAAATTATCAATACAATTGTAGTTTGCTGATGAGGGCCATGACTCACCAGTCGGATTAGTGGAGCCATCGATTTGGAAATATTCCTCTTCAGCTTGGACTCATGGGTTAGCTTTTGGGTGGAATCTCTGGCATTATGCTTTGCTTTCAGATCCAGAAAACATAGACGCAAGGAATTCTAGTGCATGAATAAAGCAAAAAGAAAGGAATACAATTTAAGACAAACTTTTATATATTTTAAAACTGGAACGTAAACAATGAATTAAATAATGAATTATGTCAGAAAAGTACTGCTTGGTAAGATTTATCAGAAATAATTTCTCATTGCTCACAAACATAAAGTCAACACACCTTTGGATTTTAAACATTTGTGGGCAATGCAAAACGTGATTCAGGATTTTGTTTGGTAAATTATCAATACAATTGTAGTTTCAGGGATGCCAGTTAGAATTGATCAGAGGGCCTGAAAAATCACCTAGAATGTGCTAGCTTGTACACAAAAAACCTAAACTATGGTATGAAAATAACTCGCCAGGGCCTGAATTCAGGCTATTGCCTGAAAACTGGCATTCCTGTAGTTTGCTGATGAGGGTAGAATGAAAGCTCCTTGACCTATGCTGAAGGGTAAAAAAACACTGTTTGAAACTCACATAATATTGTCGGTTATTGCAACATACCTGCAGGTTTTAGTGATCTAAAATTAATTGAATTATAAATATATTTGAAACTCATGACAAATAACTGAAATAAGCCTTTCAAATGAAATGAACCATTATGTAGTGTCTAATTGGTCAGTGTCTCAGTGATCATGCACAATATGACAAATAAATGTACAGAAATAATACAAGTACATGTACACATTTACCGATAATGGCTTCAACTGTTTCAAGAGGCTGCTGATCCTTAGGGAAGTAGGGAACATCCACAAGGTTGAGAGAGAGTAGCATTTTCTGCATGGTTTCACATCAATATACTGAGGCCACAATGTGCTTTGAATCCACTTCTTTGACGAAAGATGTTAAAAAAGGATGCCTACAAATAAATGAGAAAATGAATAAAGAACAAAATGAATGGTTGATAATGTATGCATGTGCAACACATATACTACAAACTTCTTTGAACAGCCTGTGGGGAAAGAATTTTGTTTACCATTTACAGGTCTAACCGATTATTTCCAGATAAAGATTTCTGTATACGCGGTAGCCTATAAGATAAATTTGCTGTCTAAAGACTATAGAAACGACTTGTTTAAGGTTACATGTTTGTGACACAAGTCACTGCTTTATTCCTCTACGTATCGACACGTAATGCTCAATTTCCAGACATCTGGGCCCGGGCCGGTAGTACACTTTCTCACAGGTTTCACTTTCACTGCAAACCGCTGCACATTACAAGTGCATACCGATGGTGGTTGCGGGCGGGCGCACGCCTGTGTGAAGTTATCTACCGTACAATGAGGAGGTAGATCACTTCACGCAGACTTACGTGCCCCCGCAACCCTCCATCTGTATGCACTTGTATTGTGCAGCGGTTTGCCATGCAACCTGTGAGAAAGTGTATACTACTATCAATGTTTTTCCGAAAAAATACTCCCCCCAAAATAAGAAAATTGACCAGAAACAGGTTAGAAACATAACGACTTTTAAATCATGACCGGCATTATTTGAACATTTCATGAATATTTGCTTGATTTGGGGTAGGCCTAGACCGAATTTTCCGTCTCTTTCGTTCGTTAGCCTCTTATTGGGGTAGGGTCGGCCGGCTCTCTCTTTAGAGACGGAAACCGTCTATACACATTCCCTTGATAACGCCACGGCCATTTCAGGTCGTAGGGTTATGCCCCCAAAATCCCCCAAAATGTCATTTTACCTCGTCCATATCCAATTGTAAATTAGGCCTAGGCTATAATACATCGGTTCCACTTACTAACTTGATTGAAATAATCCGTTTAATGGTCCCTTTTAAGGAAATTATGGGTCAAAATCGACATCCATGTTGAAAATCTTGCAAGCCGTGTTAAACTCTCGCTGCCGGAGTCATCTAAATCAATCTCATCCTTTCTAGTCTACGCCGAAGGCAAAATGATTATGAAGGAAAAACTGTGCGCCATCTACACGTTCGTAATGGCGTTAATTTACATTAACGTTAATTTTTTACTTATTAATTTTTACTTTACTTACTAATTTTTAATTATTTACGTTAATTTGGCGGAAATTAGATCTAAACAAAGAAAATCGGGGAGAAAATGTCGTGGACGAAAATATGTACATAGCCACCCCCACGGTACGAGATCTCTGGGTTGCCATCTGTATTGGGGAATGACAACAAATGTCAGTTTTATTAAAGAAATGACCCAAATCAGATGGTTATTGCTGTCTAATCTAGACGAGTCTACCTAGATCTAGTGCCAAAGCTTTCATCAGTTTGCTTCTCTTATTTTTCTGCTTTCTTTTAGTTTTAGTCTTTTAGAGCAGTTGTATATTCGAGTTAGATTTCCCTTTAAAGCCATGCAGCCCATGTGTAGGCAAATGAGTAAACTGTTTTGCTTTAAATGATGCCCCATGCCATGCATACCTTCAATCAAGACCCTACATAAAAATACATATATGGGATCATACATTCCAAATCTTGTCACCAAGTGTTGAAAGTCCGAGCTCACTATCACTGACATTATAGTGACATAAGATCATACATTGAGTCTACATATCAACTTTTCAGAACAAAAAACAGTAACTATAGATTTATGTACTTTTTGTAAATAAATTAGGTAATTCTAGGACTTACCCATACTGTAAATTTGCAGGAGAAAAGGAGAGTATTCAGGAGGATGATAATTGATGCAACGGCTTTTTTACTCTGAATTCAAATACATTACATACACATCGCATAGTGCATGTAGTCCTACGCCTTGCATGCCTTGATTACTATGCATCTGTACACACACGTACACACTCCCGTTTGAACTAGATGCGAGCATGTTTAGTCTTGATCGATATTGCAGACCTTGGTGCGTGTTAAGATGTTGCACAATCTATAATGACTAATGACATTTGAGGGGGGGGGGGGGGGGGGGGGGGAGTTGTTCCCTAATTTCAATTCTGATAATTGCCCTATTTACTTTGACTTATGCTCATATTAGATGTTGTAGTCTTTACCCGATTATTATCTTGGAAATGATTAGGTTATTAGAGACGTCATAATGACGTCGTTATAACGTCGTCCTTACGACAAAAAATATCTTGGAAAAATAGTCTTTAAAAGAGGTCATAATGACGTCGTAATGACGTCGTCAATACGACAAAAAATATATTGGAAAAAATAGTCTTTTAAAGACGTCGTAATGACGTCGTCGATACGACAACAAGTATCTTGGAAAAAATAGTATTTTAAAGAGGTCATAATGACGTCGTAATGACGTCGTCAATACGACAAAAATTACATTGGAAAAAATTAGTCTTTTAAAGACGTCATAATGACGTCGTTATCACGTCGTCAATACGACAACATTTCATTGGAAAAATAAGTCTTTTAAAGTCGTCATAATGACGTCGTTAGCACGTCGTCAATACGACAACATTACATTGGAAAAATTAGTCTTTTAAAAACGTCATAATGACGTCGTCGATACGACAAAAATTAGCTTGGAAAAAATAGTCTTTTAAAGACGTCAAAATGACGTCTTTATGACGTCGTTAATACGACAAAAATTATCTTGGAAAAAATAGTCTTTTAAAGACGTCATAATGACGTCGTCGAGAAGACAAAAAATATCTTGAAAAAATTAGTCCTTTAAAGACGTCATTATGACGTCGTTATCACGTCGTCAATACGACAAAAATTAGCTTGGAAAAATAGTCTTTTAAAGACGTCAAAATGACGTCTTTATGACGTCGTTAATACGACAAAAATTATCTTGGAAAAAAGAGTCTTTTAAAGACGTCATTATGACGTCGTCGAGAAGACAAAAAATATCTTGAAAAAATTAGTCCTTTAAAGACGTCATTATGACGTCGTTATGACGTCGTCAATGCGACAAAAATTATCTTGGAAAAAATAGTCTTTTGAAGACGTCATAATGACGTCATAATTACGTCGTCCATACGACGTACGACGTGTTTACCACTTTACGACCAATTTATGACGTCTTTAAGACGTCAGTCTGCTATCAGGGCAGGCCTTTCAGAATGTTGGTCGTACCCCTGAAGATCACTTTGTACAACTGTGACGTAACCTTTTCCACCTTCAATTGCTTCATCTTTTAAGTACACTCTTTAATCCTCCCTGTACACACAGCCCACCTTCCTTATTTTTTTTTTTATAAATTCACTTTCATTTGTGCAGGCCTATACCACGCAATTTACACTCTACATGCGACTCCCCGCTACCCCCCTCTTTACCCCACCCCATATCTCTCTTTTTCTCTCCTACCGCTCTCTCCCTCTGTATCGTCCCTTTCTCCTAGCTCTTTCTCCCTCTATCCTTTTCAACTTTTTAATTTCTCCTTACCTCACTCTCCCCACCCTCTCTCTCTCTCTTTATATCTCTTCTCTCCCCCTTTCTCTCCACCTGACACACGCACCAGTCTCTTTCCTTATCACTGTCTTCCACACCCACGCAATGATCTAAGTCTCTCCCTCTGTCTATATATCCCCTTCTCGGTCTGATAATTCTAAACTATGCTTCTCTTTTCTCTCTCTCTCTCTCTCTCTCTCTCTCTCTCTCTTCTCTCTCTCCATGTACGGGAAAAATATCAAATTCTCGTAAGAACCTGTTCACTTAACCCGTCTAGTACTACTGGCAGCTATTACGTTATGGATAACGTAGGAGACTACCCGAATCGGCGGTAACAAATAGTTGGTAAACTTCCCCACACCCATGTTCTATTCAACTCATCCATGCCCGAATGCTCCTATTCATGACTCCTCGGCGATTTTAGCCCCGGCTTGTATTAAATCAGGGATCGCTTTCTTTAGGGACCGCAGAAAACGGTCACACAACGACTCTATTATACTCTACGAGACAGCTCACCCGGTGATTCATAAGATCTATTGATTCTTCGTAGTCCCGTTCTCCCACATACGTCCTCCACAAATATGCGAATATAATTTCTACAATAGAATATCATTTTTTGTTGTTGTTCTTGTTGACACACCTCTCTCGGCATAAACAACATGAAATTATCGAGCCGGTAATCTAAAGTTCAACTCGAGTGCTGACTTCAAGTAGTAGGTGCTTCTTTAATTGTAATGTGCAAATGCCACGTAAGTATTATACGTGAAAAGACTATACATACTGAGATATAGTACACTGCATACGCTAGACAGTAGGAGGTTGACACTAATCGGAATTCCATCTTTATTCTCGCAAGACTTTGCATAAATATGGTAAGTAAAAGACTGCTCTTATTGCATTTAACCTATTATTTTTTGTAAACGTGTTTAGTGTCATATTTTCTCTATTTATTCGTCAATTTATTTTCATTGTTGATTTTCTATGCGGTGATGGAATCAAAGAAATGTATTGGTGTGTCAGTACTAAAAAAGACCAACAACGTAAAGAAGAAAGCAGGATTAGAAATTGTAAGATGTTTAAGTGGGACGAAAATATAACCCTACAGATGAACGTACAATTGACAGTAGATGTGGTATTTGTGTGTGCGTGTGAGTGTGTGTCGGTCAATCAGGTCATGAACATTACATCTGCAGAACGACTTTGAAAGTAACGATCCGAGTGACGTTACTCAGGGGTAGTGATCCTGGAAACTTGTACATACAGATCAAATAGAGGTGACCACTATTCAAATCGGGATTCAAATGCAAGTATGAGGAGGAATATTAGCTGAAGAGCCAATATCAAGTTGCTTATGACTTCGAACACATCACCATAGACTCATGCAGAAACTTCTTCGCATTCTTATTCTGCTTGTACTTCTTCCATTTCTTCATCTTCTCCTTCTTCTTCTTCATCTACTTTTTCTGCTTCTTCACTTTCTTTGTATTCTGCCTCTTCCTCCTCCTCCACTTCTACTTCTTCTTCTTCCTACACTTCTGCTTCTTCTCCTCCTCTTCTTCTTCTTCTTCTTCTTCTTCTACTTCTTCGTCTTCTTCTTCTTTGCTTTTTCTGCCTCTTCTTTTTCTTCTTCGTAATTTGCTTCTTCTTCGTCTTCTTCTTTTTCTTATATCTGTTCTTCTTCTTCTGCTCCTTCTTTTTCTTCTTCTTCTTCTTCTACTTCTTCTTCTTCTTCTTCTTCTTCTTCTTCTACTTCTTCTTCTTCTTCCTCTTGTTTTTCTTCCGCTTCTTGTTCTTGTTTTTGTTTTTGTTCTTGTTCTTGTTCTTATTCTTCTGCTCCTTCTTTTTCTTCTTCTTCTTCTTCTACTTCTTCTTCTTCTTCTACTTCTTCTTCTTCTTCTTCTTGTTTTTCTTCCGCTTCTTGTTCTTGTTTTTTTCTTGTTCTTGTTCTTGTTCTTGTTCTTCTTCTACTTCTTCTTCTACTTCTTTTTCTTCTGCTTCTTCTTCTTCTTCTACTTCTTCTTCTACTTCCTCTTCTACTTCTTCTTCTTCTACTTCTTCTTCTACTTCATCTTCTTCTTGTTCTTGTTCTTATTCTTCTACTTCTTCTTCTTCTTGTTCTTCTTCTGCTTCTTGTTTTTGTTCTTCTACTTCTTCTTCTTCTTGTTCTTGTTCTTCTTCTTCTTCTACTTCTTCTTCTTCTTGTTCTTCTTCTGCTTCTTGTTCTTCTTCTATTTCTTTTTTTTTCTTCTTCTTCTTCTTCTACTTCTTCTTCTTCTACTTCTTCTTCTTCTGCTCCTTCTTCTTCTTCTGCTCCTTCTCCTTCTTCTGCTCCTTCCTCTTCTCTTTCTTCTTCTGCTTATTCTTCTTTTGTTTTTCTCCTTCTTCTTTTTCATCTTCATCTCCATGTTATTTATTTATTTTTCTTTTATTTCTTCTTCTTCTTCTTCTTCTTCTTCTTTTTCTTTCTTCTTCTCCCTGTACTTCTTATTCTTCTCCCTCCGTTGGAGTCGAAAATCAGTATTCCTTCTTCTTCTTCCAGTGCAAGTACAGTCCTCTGGGTAGAGTATTTTCGTACTGCTGTGTAGTTCTGTGAGGGGAAAACCTGCAAATTGACAGGTAAAGGGTAAAACACGAAGAAAGTACCAATGTCCTTTATTTTCACGATTGGAAGGATTGTAATTTGATACATTTGTTGAAGCTAGAGAGAGAGAGAGAAAGAGAGAGAGAGAGAAGAGTTCAAAACATTTGACAAATTTGACATCGATCATTTAACGAAAAGTTAGATAAAAACCTCAATGTGATCTGGTTAGGAATACATTTCTAAGTCTACAAAGTCCATACGCCAAAAAATAAGAATTTGGAATAGAAGGAACATTATGATCCAAATGAAAACAAACACAGACATTACTATTTTTACAAAATAATGAGCTCTGAGAAAAAAAAAACTTCTTGTTTGTTTAATACTTAAGCGCATGTTGGAAATATTGTTTTGCAAACATTTTAATGCGAATTTTGTTATAAGTAAGCAGAATATGCATCGCTGGCTCTTCTGAATACAATAATACCTCGTTAAATTGTATTTCGTGTTGCAAATCATGTGATTAGTATTAATTAGAGGCTTGATCTTGGGGAACGGTAGAGTGATGCATTAAAAAGGTTTCATCAGAGGCTTAGTTATTTGGTGATTGAGGTCATTTCTATTCCCAAACAATTGGTATTAACAGAAACAAAATGGAAACACAAAAAAATAAGAATAGAAACCCCCAAAAAAAAAATCAGACATCTAATTTAAAAAGTGCTTTCGGGAGGAGTGATCGATCAGACATCAATGGAATTACCTTAGTGTCTACCTTACCAAAGGTCATTGGTTCGAACCCTAGACTTGGAACAGATCGGTGCAAAGAAGATCCAACCTATGGTGATCAATTATACATAATTCTGCACTGTTCAATTCAATTCAATTCAATTTTATTTCGCAATATAAAAATCAAAATATACAAAGTAACAGTAAATTTTAACTATGTTTACAAAGGTTATATGCGGGGCTTTCCATGAAGGATGCGAGAACCTGTGAAGTTGGATCGCCCAACTGTTAAATGTACAATAAATGATTGAACAGTGTACTTTTTAAATCAAACAAAGACACATATCGCATTATATCCTTCGTTTCCTACCTCAAATAAACAACCAATGTAGATTATAATCATTTCATACACAAAAGAGATGAAAGGATTCATGAAATAAGGATGCATTTCCAGCCTTTCCTTGGAGTTGGATTTATATCTTGTGATTTAGAGCGTGAAATATTTAGTAACAACTTCTATATACACCGTGACCACGTGTGTTTAAAGCCTAACCCATGTTTAAAGATAAACTTGAGTTCTGGTAAAAAAAGAAAATGAATTCTCACAGAATCTAACGAAACTTACACTGAATGTTCAAGATTACAAATAAATGTCGTGTGCCAAACAATTTTGGAAGAAAATGTATACTGGCTGAGTAATGAGCACAGAAAGATAAGGAAATCAGGGTAGTACTAGCCCCGACACCATGTGTGTTGTCCCATATACATCTATCTGTGTAAGTGATTGTTACTTAACCAAGACTCTGCCAAATTTATGATGATTTTGATGACTCTAGAACCTTGCATTACACACCATTACTTACATGCTATATGATCAACTTTTCTGATCCATTCCTCACCTTTTCTTTCACAATGCAATCGCATTACCAGTACTCAAGTTTATCTTTAATGACCTGTGAAAAGCCAAGTTTCAACCTCACATCTTATGTAGGTCTATATTACATTAAATCGTGTTAAAAACATTTATTGTCCCAAACAGCCTATTGTTCATCCTCTCTGGAAAAAAGAGCAAGTAAGGTAACACACAGATACATATAAATATATAAACATGCAGATAAACAAAGATACAAACCAACGTACAATCCAATCGACCTACCAACCACCAAACCAACCAACAAACCTTAACAAAAAACACGAACCAATTACATCACAAGCCATATTGGAAAAGATTTAAGATATGTTGTATTTACTTTAGACCTGCGTCGTCTATAAAATGTATTTTATATGCTTTTTCAGAAAATATTTTGTTGACACTAATCCATCCTAAACCCATTCTTTTCAAAACGTGTTCTAGAAATGGAATACATGTCGGGGGAGATGTGAGCACATGTAAACATAGACTTTGAAAGACGCTTCATATAAATATGTAAACTATTTCTTCATTTGCGCATTGAAGGGATTTATTCTTAAAGGTGACATCATGTCAGGTTTTGACATCGCAATGCTATATTCTTGCTCAAATAATGAGCGATGAATGCGTTTTTTTGTTATCTCAGACAGCTTTTTATTATAATCATTCTACATATCCAGACAAACGATCATCTCCCATAAAACACGTCACTTTATGTTTTAACATTCTCGTTAAGGAAAACATTAGCAAAAGAATTTCAATACTGTAATCTTTTCGATATGCCTACAATTCTAATGTGTTAATCGTCGAGAAATTTCCAGATATTAAAGTTAAAGCACGACTAACATTCGTGTGAAGGTGCACTGGTTAACGTCTGAGGATTTATGGCACCATGCATATAGCATAAACTAAGTAAATTTCATGAAGTTTTATATTTTTTACAAATCAAGGCAGAGCCTCGCTTTCTGGTTAAGGAAACATACTAAGTAGTAAATTATAATGAGTACCAATGAAACAGTTCTGTAATAATCTTCTTTTTTTGGGGGGGGGGGGATAATGGTATATGTTTTAGGAAACTTTTGTTTTAATATCGTCGAGTCTATATGTTTTTATAAACAGGACTTCATCGGTAGACTGCATTGTCCGACAATACATCCTCTTTAAAATTATAATACAATGTGGTACATGTAGAGCAGGAATAGAATAATTAACTGTTATTTTCCCTTGCCAAAGATAATGTTGAGTTCTGGTCTTGCGATTGCAGTGTGAAAGACACTGTTTGCAATCATTTGGAAGCGGGCTATTATGTAGAAGATACGACTGTGTGTATATTGTTGGGCTTTTCCGTGATTAAGTTAAGGAATTAACTCAGTTTCGTTAACTCTCAAGAACTGTACACAGTCCTAAACATCTACAAAGGACTACACAAACGTGTGACATGAAATTGTGTTCTACAAACTCAAGAAATGTCCAATCATATTCGGACATGACGGCATTTGTAGAGCAGTCCTCTCTAGGTGACATATTCTACAATTTTCTTCAACACTACCATACAAAAGGATGAGAAATCCCACAATGTATTATTTGACCTTTCTCAGAACTCAACTTTCTTTTTCCTTACGTCGGTTCTATGTATAGAAACATGACTAGACGTTGCTTAAAGGCTTTGTTTAACAGCGTTAAATATGAGATGCATGGCTCTACGTGTCATCAGTGCCTGTAAAACATATTTGAGTGACCGGTTTTTTCCATACTCATTTTCCCCAATAGACAGCAGTAAAAAAAAAAAAATCCGTAAAAAGGTAACCTTTTTTTGAAATTTCGATTTCCAATCACAAATATCTTGATAATGAGAAAGGATCATGAAGTGCCTCACAAAAGTAAACATATTTGAGTGACCGGTTTTACCATACTCATTTTCCCCAATAGACAGCAGTATTTAAAAATCCGTGAAAAAGGTAAACGTTTTTTGAAATTTCGATTTCCAATAACAAATATCTTGATAATGAGAAAGGCGATCGGCTTGTACAAGTCATGGGGTTCCTGACTGACCTAAAGGTTTCTAATTATGATTGCAGCATGAGCAGGATTTTGTTTCAGAATCTGAGGCAATGTTACCGAGTCACTTTAATATTGCTCGACTGATTGTTGTCTAGTATGCGGTAACCAGTCAGGTGTATCCTATTGAGATGTAATCCAGTTGTCAATGAGAAATCCTTCTTCTTTCATTCATGTATGAATACATGCTGAGATTTAGTCGCTCTGTCTGGATCCTAATATGATCATCCACCATCAATCATGTCAGTGTATGGGGGCAGTATACAAATGACTTTGTCTCAGATTCTGAAACAAAATTCTGGATTTAAATCATGCTGCAATGATAATTATAAACCTTTAGATCAGTCAGGAACCCCATGACTTTCTAATTATCAAGATATTTATGATTGGAAATCGAAACCAAATTTGCGTTTTCATAATGATTTCCATAACTGCAGTCTACCGGGGAAATCTAGTATGGTAAAACCGGTCACTCAAAAGTTTTTACTCTTTTGAGGCACTTCTTGATCATTTTGAAGCGCAATTTCTTTTCTAGGGCTTCAATATTACACCATATCACACAAATTGATAACAAATAGGGCCGTGCATCTGAGATTTAACATTGTTAAACGATCCCTTTAATTTAAGCATGCCTTTTCACCAGAAACCCTGGCTACGAAATATGAACTGCTATTACTAAAGGCACGTCTATACATTTATTCCTCTTTGCAAACATTATTTGTTGGTACGGTTTACAACTAGACTACTAGTAAATTTGATGTGTTTTGTTTGTTTAAATGTTATTGAAAAATGAAAGGTGAACTGGTTGACTTAGGGCCTTTGTTGAATACTTGATCATGCAGAGCGTATACATAAAAGTGTACTTTGGAGGCTCCTGATTAATAAATTACTATCAATATGACCTTGGAATCTACATAATGATTTAAAATAACTTGTTTTCCGTTCTATGATTTTCTTGTTTATGATATTTCTGCCATGTGTGTCTGGACACTAGGGCTTTACAACAGTTTGATCAAAATCGCCTTGCACCACGTATGGGCTAATGGAACTAATTCGGGTCAGACCATCTGCATATGCTTTTTTGTTCTTAAACCCATTTCAAAATTAAATTATGTCCCGTGCTTCAGTGCTAAATTGGTCTTCACAAGGCTTTCACAGAACCTTGTCTCAATTTATAGGATAACCTTTAATTAATTTGAACAGCCTACTAACCTCTTGTCTCACGATATCTAAGTTCTCTCTGCTCACTTGTCCGCTGCGCCGTTTCATGCAAAAGGAGCATCGGGTGGTTATCTCGAATGGCGAATGAAAACTAAAATGCAAGCAAGAACGCATATAATAACAATAATAATAATAATCATAATAATCATAATGATAATAATAGTGATAATAAAAGTGATAATAATAGTGTTAATAATAATGATAGTAATAATTATAATAACAGTGATAATAATAATGGCAACAACACTTAAAATCCGCACACATCCAACCCAATGGAGGCTCAAGGCGCCTCAACAAATTTAGGAAATTATTACCCTGGCTTTAGCTGTGCTGAAAATACGGCCCTCTAGCATTTCAAGGAATTAATTCCTACCAGGTACCTATTTAAATCACCCTGGGTTGAAAGTGGCAAATGTAGATCAATGTCTTGCCAAAGGAAATTAGTGTCGCGGTGGGACTCGAACCACGGACTTTGTGATCGACAGTCCGGTGATGTATCCACTCAATAAAGACACCTCTTTGGTGATAATCATCAAAGAAATTGACAGTAGACTTTCATAAAATAGACAACATCCACACAATAATTATCCATTTTGTATCACTCCTTGAAAAGGGTAACCTTAAACAAGGGATGCGAACGAAGTAAAGATTTTAATCATCATAATGAAGAGATTATCATGAAATGTGTTTGTAATAAGCATTTTTTAAACATTTGAGTCTATATTAACACTTAACTTTTCACATTCCTATTAGTCAATGTAAATAAGTGAACAATTACTTTTGGAATGCTTCAGCCCAAACGTGGTTCAAGTAGATTTTGACAATACTTCTTGAAAAGCATGTTACTCAGTCATCCATGGCAGCACAAATACGAATATGGTTGTATTAGACAGGATATTAGTTACTCTTTATCGTGAAATACGTTCCAAGCTTTGTTATAACGTTTTAATTAGAAGCCATCAAATGTGGGTACACATTTTATTGATAAGCACTGTATAGCAAAAAGGTTGATTCAACCTTAGGGCCTTTTTTGAATGCTTGTAGATGAAAGCTTTATATGTCACATTCTCAAGAAGCATAAATCGAAACAAATAAATTTTCACATTCTTAAAAAAGTTATAAAATTTTTTGGTAAGGATATTACAAATCTAGTTGTTAACTATATGCCTGGCATGCAATCTTCTAGCGATTTGGAGTTGGGAAGGGAAATATTTCGTCAAACACTAATAATGAAGTTATACTACGTTCTACAACTAATGATACAGTTAACACCAACATTATTCATACCACTTGTAATTTTGACGTTTTTTAATATATGTTCCATATTTCTCAAGAAGGAAAGGTGGACTGGTTGAATAAGGGCTTTTTTCAAATACTTTTAGATAATCAACTTTAAAGTGTCACATTCTCAAGAAACATAAATCGGGACAAATTAATTTGTCACATACTTAAAAAAGTACACAACTTGGTATAAAGGGTATGAATAATATAACTGCATAGTACTGATTTCACTTTACGCTATAAAAAAACAACATAACAAAGTACTTCTGTTTAAAGGTAAAGACCAGTTATGGTCATGCGATTGCATTGTGAAAGAAACGTTGTGGAATCGATCAGAAAAGGTTGATCATCTAGCATCTAGCATCTGCAAGGTTCTGGAATCATCAAAATGATAAGAAATTCGGCCCTTTCTTTGTAAAGTTACAAGCACTATACACAGAAAGATGTATATGGGACTACCCTATATCTCTCACAGACCATGAGAGAAACACATTTACCAAATATATGAATTAGTAGGCGGTTTCCCGGCAAATTTTTTATCATCATGTATTAGTCAAAACATATTCTTTCACATGATTGGTAATGAGAGCTTCCATTTCATTTTTTGAAATTGGGGCGTTTCCAATACTGGTCTTTACCTTTAACGGAAATATTTCAAACTTTGGTCGTGCCGTCTTTTCAGATAACATTATGGATGGCAAGGTTGTCAAAATATCAACCTGTTCATTGCAACAGCCTTGATCGTCACCTAATGAAACGTGCGAATATGACACTGACATATTTGCACATTTCCAGTACCGCAGATTTTAACATGATTTGTAATAGCCAATATAATATTTAGGAGGTGCCGTTGTCTAGTGGATACGTTGATGGACTTTAACTCTCATGGCTCGCGTTTCGAGTCCCACTGCGACACTTATGTTCTTTAGCAAGACGTTAATCTACATTTGCCACTTTCCACCCTGGTGTAGTAAATGGCTAACCGATAGAAATATTTCCTTGAATGCTTGAGCACCTTATCATGGTTGCTCGGCTAGAGCTGGTGAAGCATTATGATTACAAAGCCCCCATTGAGAAGAGTATTTTACTGCTGAGGTTACCCTGGAAAAACGAAACATAATAATATTATCCTTATTTTCTTGTATTACTATTATTATCATTACTATTACTATGATTATGGTTATTATTGTTATTATTAATAATAATACTATTGTCATCATCATTATCACTATTACAGGATACTGAAATTGTCCTTTTGTTTATTTCATTGTGTGTGGTTAAAGTGAATTCAATATTCTTTAAATAAGGCATTCTTATATCCATGTCGTTATATTCTTTCATTAACAGGAAGTAGAAGTGCATAATCCCGTTTCGACTGAAGAGAGTATCCCTCCAGAACAGCCCGACACAGCGCCACCAACGGACGTGACAGGAGGAGTTGAACAAGACACCCCAGAACAGCCCGACACAGCGCCACCAACGGACGTGACAGGAGGAGTTGAACAAGACACCCCAGAACAGCCCGATACAGCGCCACCAACTGACGAAACCGAAGGCGTTGAACAAGACATGGATAGTCCGCCCGCTGATGACGCAATAGCTGGTGAAAGCGACTTTCCTCCACCTCCAGAAGACGTAACCTCCCCACCAGAACCCGACCCCAGCGACGAGGTTGACCACGAAGTCAATGACGTCACCGACCTTATAGACAGTGCTGTTGAACCGGAAGTAGATGACACCGTCGAACCTACTACGACTGAAAACGAGGTCAATCCGCTAGACGAGGAGATTCAACCAACTTCTGAAGTCACAGAACAATCTGAGCTCGATTCTCCAGAGTTAGCCAACGGAGAAAGCACGCCTCCACCGATGTATGACGAAGCAGCTGAGACTGAGAAGTCTTCACCAGTTTATCAGAACGGCATGGTCGCTGATGACCCGGATGGCATCACAAGTCTGGACGATGAAGTAGTTCCCAATGGTAACGGCATGAATGGCGATCAGGATCCAATCATTATGATGTACTCCGATGACAAGACGTCGTCGACGAAGGCCAGATTGATCTGTTTCGTCATGTGTTTCGTCGTGGTGGCCGTTACGGTTATTGCTCTTGTCTTCTACGTTGTTGGTGAATATAAAAGTCTATTGATATAAAAATATATTGTGACTGATTGCCAAACAAAATCAAATCAAGAAGGAAATTTGAAAATATCAAATAATATTGATTTGACCATTTAATGTTAGTGTTTCAAGAAAGAACAATTATTCGAAGGTCAGATCAGGTGGTTTCATTTTTGGATGACAAAAATTGATAAAATAAAGTGGCAAATGTCGTAACAGATATATTGCACTGAATCCCTCTATTAATGGGTGTTAGTGCATCGACAAGTTTCAATCAACATGATTAACCCGTCTCCCCAAAGGACCCAAATTAGACTTAAATTTAAAAAAAATACGATTATGTTAACAAAATGCAGTGTTTAAAAAATGTATTTGATTGTAGCTGATTACCTCTATTGCAACGTCTATATTCACGGTATACGGTACAGCATAGGGCACGATTAAAAAATGGCCCGCCTTATAAAAGCCCTTCTCGCCCAGAAAATTTCGTGGGATAACATTACTATTTCGTCTTCTTTAAAACATCACCCTACTCTTTCTGATATGTTTTGTATCCATCTCTGCCCTACAACTTTGAATGTTTCTGCATTCTGCATTTCTCCTAAAAAAAAGATTAGTATGGTAGCGTAAAACATATTATTTATTGCTCTGCTGCCATACCATATTTCTACAGGGAAAGTTATGTCTTCAATGCTGATACAGTTTCCTTTCATTTCCTCTCTTTGTTGCAGTTTATTTGGGCATTGGGGAAAGTTCAGACGGTTCAGGAGACACGATGACTACAACACCTAGTATTCCATGTAAGTACGCCAGGATACACTTCTGAGGTCATTCTAAAGCCTTGTTCGGTGAACCGTCGCTCTGTGATTAAACAAAATATTGTGCCAAAAGTGTAATGCACTTCAATGATCACATTCTAAAAACTAAATATGCTCAATCACCATTTAAAGGCATCGCTTAACAACGTTAAATCTGAGAAGCACGGCCCTGCGTGTAATCAGTGTCTGTAATATAGCGTAATATTGAAGCCCTAGCATATTTGCGCTTCAAACTGATCAAGAAGTGCCTAAAAAAAGTAAACATCTTTGAGTGACCGGTTTTACCACACTCATTTTTCCCAATTGACTGTAGTGTCGTGAAAAACCGTTAGGTAAACGAATTTTTCAATTTCGATTTCGAATCATTCATATCTTGATAAGTGTAAACCTTCAGGTCAGTCAGGAGCCCCATGATTTTTACAAGCCGATAGCCTGTCCGATTATCAAGATATTGAACAAAAATAAAAGTACTGGTATAATAATATACACTGTGAGAAAACTATTCTTACACGACAGATTCTGCCATTGCATTGTTGGTGTTTCGTTTCTTTATTTATTACAGTAATAACGCTTTAATATTGCGAGGGAAATGCATACAAACATATACAACTCACCCAACAATTAAAAAAGAAAAAACAAATTTGGGATAGATGGCCGAAATTCGGAAGAAGATCTCAAGATGAAACAAAAGAAATCTGTATTAGAACAAAATAAAATATCTACGAATCTCATTTTTGTTGTTTTACATTTTTACATTTGCCTTTACCAAAAAAGTTAAGTTCTATGATAGTCCGTTTTTTTATCAATGCTTGCTAACATTCCAGGGTGTACTTTTATTATTTCTTCTCTACAGGATCCCGAGCAGAGCAAAACCAGTATTGGTCCTCGTCATCACCATGGGAACAAGGAATTTTCAGGTTGTAATATTGCCAAAATGGAGTCATGAACATTCACCATTATACTCAGTGGACATATTCTGATAAAATCCCGTCAAACGTACGTGTGGTGCCTGAAAATACTTTAGAGTGAGGACAGAATTTGAAGTGAAGCGAAGATATCCTGAGAACAGTTTTAACTTTATTTATTGAAACTTTTTTTGGTCATAACAAGTTTCCATTTCTAATTTTTTTCACCGCCGTTGGTACAAATGCGTGCATCAATGATGCGATCATAAGTAAAGATTTGTTATGACAATTATTTCACGAACATTACAAATAGATTAATAAAAAAAAATCTCTAATGATACAATTCAAGACGTACTTGGCTAAAGAGGCTTGGAGTAATGGACATCACCCAGACACAACTTGAGAAAACCGAGTACAGAGGAATACCTGGAAAACTGCGAATAACGTGCAGTGAATTGAGAGCCCTCAACGTTCAATTCAAAACAGTTTGTATAAAATACACGGGGGAATCCTTTCAAAGTCAACGCAATGTTGATGTGGGTAAACTATTTTAAAAACCCTGAAGAATTGGTCATTTAGAAATAACTTCAAAATTGCAAACATATGAAATAAACGTGTCCACAGCAGTAATTCTTAAAACAAAAATGTATTTGACTGTAGATGATTTCCCATGCATTTGACAAATTACTAGACATGGAACTGTAAGGGCGATACATATAATGTGTGTTGTTTTCTGTTTCACAAGTATTTACTTGTACTGAGTTTTTCCAAAGCTGTGTTTGAATGGTAATGGTAATTGCAATGGTAATTTGGAAGATATTTTTTTTTTCTTTCTTGAAAACTTTAAGTTAGGCAAAGATCAATAGGCTGATATAATACCAATGATTTGAAAATTGTATATTGGTATGTAGATGGGCTGAGCAGCATTTCTTGAAATACGACCCCTGAGAAACGTACAATATAATCAATTTAGTTCCAGGATCAAGGAACTAAAAAAAAACACATATTAAACGATAAATCAAACGTTGTTTGAAATGTTACAGCTCACATTTTCCATATTTTGCATATATTTGATTGCTTTTACATGTATGTATATACTTTACAGTAATTTTTTTATTATCAATACTCCCCAACTTCCTGTTTTTATAGAATAGTTGTGCTTAACTGGCTTACAGTTCTCAGTATATTTAGTATATTTTATTTGTGTGTTGTATTAAAGAACAAAATGCTTTACTTACATAAGCATATGTCAATGCATTACTAAAGGAGGATTTATGGAATTTATATATATATACATCTCAATGGAAAGTTTGTGTAAATAAGAACAAAATAACGTCGTGTCAATGGTAATTACTATGTATTTCACCCTGGGGACAACGTCCCCCTTGGGGGGGGGGGGGGGGTCAAGAAGTTTTAGATCTTAATACCAAGTGGCAGATCGTGTGTCCATTGATGGAATGATTGGGGGGGGGACAGGTCTGGAAAGGATAAAATACAGTTGCAAATCACCACAGAGACCGAGGGCGGGATGTTATCGCAATTGACTCCTCTTCGTCTCACCCATTTCCCCTTCTTCATTACCCCTCCCCCTCTATTTCTCTCATTTTTCAATTTTATTTTGAAGTTTGAAGTTTAAAGGTTTATTTATTCCACATTTTACAAAGAAAAACATTTTATATTCTCTTTTTTTATACAGGCGAATATTATTATAAGAATAGATTTCACACAAGAAAAAAAAAAAGAAATAGAGATTTCAAGTCAAATATAATGTACGTAAAAAAACTAAGAAACTTTCAAAATATGTATATTTAACAGGCTGGGTAGAACAATGTAAAATAAGCGGGGTAGGGAGGGGGGGGGGGGGCGTGCTTATCACGCCCCTCTGGACATTGCTTGACCATGTTCCTAGACGTCATGATTTCGTTCGTATTTTGTCCCATCCCAGGTGACGTTATAGCATACTATATAGTCATGTTAAATAGAAGAGTTTTAAAATAATAGTTCATAACAAAAAATTGAAAGCCCTCAGATCTCGTTATTTAGTTTAAATGCACTTCGGTTAGATGTCATATTTATTACTGTCATTAAAAAGGAAAGAAAGTTCATGAATTCCCTATAAGACGCTAATATCATATAACGAGTTTATAACTAATATAATTTTATTTGGTCTTCTTCGTGTGAAAGAGAAGTGGCGAAATCATTTCACTCTGTAACTGGGCCGTATCAAAGACGTTCGCCAGTTAAGACCTCGTCCATATAGTCTCATCATGCTCGTGAGATGTTGGCCTCGAGAGCTGTTGCCAAATTTACATCGATAATGTAAAGAAGATTTGTGGTGTGAAAGTGTCCGATAGAAAGAACACAAATGAACTTTTGGAAAGGTTGGGTCTGGAAGAAACTGTAGTGGAATTGGTTAATCGAAGTGGAGGTGGATGGGTCATGTGTAGGAAAGCGATGTTAATGAACCTGTCAAAAAGAGCATGGGAATTGGAAGTGGATGGCATAAGAGGGGAAGGAAGACCCGAGATATTATGAAGCGAAATGAGGAGGATGCTCCAGATAAGAAGAAGTGGAGGGTGGGAAAAATAACAACAGTATTTTAAGTGAAAATGTCTTTCATTTTATGTAAATTGGGATGTACATGTGTTTGTACAATTATTTTAGGTACTCGATTGGAAATTAAATGTTGAGTGTTTGTGCGTACTATGGAAATGTAATAATTAAAATTGCCTTGTTTTGGAGGAAAATTTGGAGAGAATGAATCGACTTATTACATGCTTGTGCAAAAAATAAGAAGTATTAGAAATAAAGATATTTACTTTACGAAAAGATATTGATGGTACGTGAAGCAATTCTTGGGAAATTATAACCTCATGACTTTTCATCCTGGACTGTAGATAAAGATAATACATGGCATCACCAAACCCTGAATTCTTTCCCCAAAAGATTTTCTCCCTTTCCTAACGAAATAGATATTATTATTACTGTCATTAAATTATTGAAGCAAAGAGGGCGGTATGTGTCTATTTTGATCTTATACTTTCGGAAAAATACATTATTTGTATAATGACCTTTGACCCAATAGTTCTTTCATTCGTCATTCCACTATCTCGATTCTTTTCAAATACCTGCGCAGCCAGCCGAATAACAATACTCTTGAAAGGCTTTGTGTAGAAATAGTGGCCCCAATAGTGATCAATTGAAAATCGTAGCTGCGAAAATATTTTCCCACCAGTTGAAATGTACATGATAACGTCAAAAACATGACTGTGTCTAAATATAGTAGTTGATCTTTGCTCATTTAATTGTATTTCATTGTGGAAACGGTGAAAAGTGTATCGACTGCTCAAATGTTGTTTTGCCAGATACTATGCAGGATGGATATAAAAGTAAGCTCAGCTTTGATGTACATATGTCAGAGGTTTATAGTTTAATGTATTTCAATACATTTAGGTTATGCACCAAATCATTTAGGGCTAGTTGTAAGCAAGTGAATGAGAATATATTTTTTGGTTGGCTTGCATAAAATTTGCTGTTGACTTTATTTCGCAATTCAATAGAAAGAGCCAGAAACAATGAACTTTAACGGGAGAAAGGTTACTAGGAATATAGTAACTAAAATCGAAAAATATAAACGGTATAATCTGAGAGTAAGGATTTATGTAGTAAATGTTTCAACATGGGCCTTCGGTATTCGTATGGATAACTAATAGGTTTCATAAAGGAAGAGTTAAGATAAACTATGAAACACAAATCACACACTGACAAATGACAATAATTTATCTAGTCTGTTTAATTGAAGTATGTTATTTAACAAAAATCTGTCAATCTTTAAAAGGAAAACAAAATTAAAACATGAGATAAATTTTGTTTTGTATCTATTTTTAAAGGTTATAAATGGTATTAAGTCTGCACGGACGAGCCGGACTTTCTGTCTTACAGAAGAAAATCTATCATTTTTAGCATGGATTTTGTTAGTGAAGCAAATGTTATTGCCAAGTGCAAATTATCATGAAATTAAAAAGATATTAATATTTTCTCAATGATTACCAGTTGCATAACGTGATACTATTCATTAGGGGCCCTGGAACGATACGATACGATGGGAGTGAGGGGGGGGGGGAACCATTTTTACTAGAACAATGAATAGCGTTTGTACTTGTATAAGAATACTGAATTGGGGGCGGTGCGATAGGTGGTCCATTCGTCTTCTTTTCTCGTCATATTCCCCTTCTCCTTTTCCTTTATCTTTTCTTGTTTTAATGTGTTCTGTATTTCCTTGTTACTATTCGATGGGGAGAGGGGAGGGTCATGTTGGACGGGGTTCCAGAGTTCTGAAGGGGGAGGGGGAGGGGAGCAATAAGTCACAACCATTGAAGTAAATTGAAACATTCCTCGTTAGTTGACATTTACAAATGATAATTGTTTTCTGTATGCTTTGGTTCTGTCAGAACTGTTCAGAAAAATGTGCCCCCAAATCATCCGGGTATTAATTATGATCCTTCATTCGGCGGAGAAGGAATATGTTAACATTATTTAAAAACCTATTCCTTACCTGTTTTCCCAGTCTAATGCAATTGAATACCCAAAGCAACAGATTCAAAAGTTCAAAGCCGAAAATGATACAAACAATTACCAAAGGTTTATTGCCACCCTTATGTCTAACCCATGGCCTTTTATTCGTAAAAAATTACAATGGGGGGGGGGGGGTGATGCGATGGACGAGTAAGCATAGTTTTAATTGTGGTTACGTGATACCAACGGAATACAGATTTTGTACAGTTTGAAGGGTGCGAGGGAGCGAGAAGGTTGTCTTTTCTTCATTTTTCTTAGTCTAAACATTTCACTCTTCGTCACTCCAGAGCCTAACATTGTGTTGCAGTCTAGGGAGGGGGACGATCCCCCCTAAACAAATTGAGAGGGACATGTCCCCCCCCCCCCCGTCCCGCGGGATCGCCGCCCCTGCCACCGTCACACCCCAAATTTACACCATGACGACTCCCCACCGACTGATTCCTGACTATTTGGGACAATGTTATGTGTCATGAAGGGTGTGTTCACAAATAAAATGATACCTGTGTAGTTGAAGTTTATTTTCCCGTTATAACAACAAATGTGTATACATATACCTTGTAAGTTTTTAAAGTTATTTTTAACTTGATTTTACATTGTATTCGAATTGTTAGGGGCCTCTTCTGTCATTTCAATTGCATTTAATATATTTTACACATTACAGTCATATCAAATAAATATAAACATGCAAATACAAAACAATTTGCATGTTAAAATATAAAGGAATACAAACATAACGAGAAAAACAAGTACGTG